ATATTTTAAGACAATGTTCTTAGTATCAAGAGAGCCAGCATTCAATTTCACGAAACAAATTTCAAATCATCAATTTTCAAAAGCTATATGCATTATATGGATATTTTATGGAGCTCACATATAAAAATGTGAATGCTTTTCTTCGTCTCCTCCTGTCTGAAAGTCTTAGAAACTGAGGTTAGAGCTGAAGAGCACATTAAATAGTGATTAAACATCATGATCGACGCTCAATAATTGTGTTTTTTCAGTAATCGTGGTGAATTTTACATTTTAGCCTCACAGGAGCTGCGCCAACAAGCTTTTTTTAGTTCCTCCTATATTATTCAAGAAAGCATATTATCAATGCGAACATTTATTCACCTGGTGTGAAAAGGTTTTCTGAAATATTGATTTAACTTTTATTTTAACAAAGTTTTCTTAAAAAGAAATAAAGATACTATTTTAGTTGTAAAGTATATTCTGTTTTTCTAGATTTTTCTACTTATCTTGACAAATAATACCGTGTACCTTTTATATTCATCACGACAACGTTGCACAATTTCTCAAGATGATAACAGAAATTAAAAAGAAAGAAAATTTTGATATATTTGTTTTGACTTATGATATTCGTACGAATACACATTATATAATACCAAGAAATGAAATAATAACGTTAAAAAAATTCAATCGTTGGAACCTGATAGTATTTGAGCTAGATGTGACAATGAAAATATAGAATTATTACTTCTACGATAATTTCGATCTCATCTCGATGAAGAACCATCATCTAGAGAATGAGAACTTTTTTAATTAGAATTTGATTTTTTTCTTAGTATCAACTACTGCTTTTTTGTCAAAGTCTAATTGTATTGGCATCGATTTGCACATTTCTTCTTCTCATATATCTATGTTCATGTACTGATATACTATTAAGAATAATCGATAATTAAAACTTAATTATTCCATCAAACGGTTCTTTGATTATTTTTGCTTTTCGTCATATTTTATTTATCTATTAGTTTGGTATTCGAATTCAAAAATAGAATACAAGAATAGATTACGTAGTTAGAAACTTAAAGAACACTTTCCTCTATGACGATTGCAAAAATTTTCTTTCTTTTATTAAAATAATATGACAAGGTTTAAAGAGCAACATACATGACGTTGGTTGTTTTCTTTTCTCTTTTATCTTATCAGTTTCAATTCTACACGTACTTTAACAATTTTTGTTGTGCATTAACTTTCATTTGTCGATTCGGAAAGACGCTGGTAAGTGCATTTTGTGTTTAAGTGAAATTAGGATTCTCACTCGTAATTTTAAAGTATTTTAATTAATAATTCGATAAAATTGACTTGAAAAAGGCAATGTGAAATTCATAAATTTTGTGAACGAAGCCTTAAACATTTATTGTTATTATTTTTGTCAAAAGTAACGACATATTAGAACATAGAATTAAAACTAAACCGACGGTTTTAGCTTTTGAAAATTTTATGTAATCTATTTCAAAGTATTACTTTGTACGACTAAACAGTTTGGTTTAGTTGTTTTTGAAGATAGAAAGAATCTTCTATCGTTGCACTTTTTCCATTTATTAATTCCTAGTCGGATCTCTGACTGTTTTAAAATCTGACAAGTATTCGTACTATTTAGATCCACTAGAACGCCATGGAACAAGAAGAAAGCACTAGATGCCGTTTCGATAACGATCATCAACAGCAACAACTCGATGTAGGGTTGTCAACACCATGCCATCGACTGCCCACCTTATCCGATATCAAAATCAAAATACCTAGCCACTGTTTTCGTTCCAATATGCTCAGATCAATGTTCTACGTTATTTTAGACATCTTCTTTATTATTGTTGCCTATACTTTCATGTTTCAATTGCAACATACACTGAATTACGGATTTTTATTCTTCCCTCTTTATTGGTATGTACAAGGTAAATTCAATTAGCGTATAGTTATTTTTTCGATATCTTAATATTTTTTTTTCTTGTACAAAAGGCACTCTATATATGTCACTCTTCTCTCTTGGACATGATTGTGCTCACGCCAGTTTCAACAACTACCCATTGCTCAACGATACTATCGGTCAGTTCTTTACTTTCTTCTTTTTGACGTAATGAGAGGTAATATTCTTATCTTGTTCAGGTACTTTGGTGTTTACATGGATATTGATTCCGTACTATCCCTGGAAGGTAAATTGATAATCACATGTTATTATTCTAAACTCTAACGATGTTTCTTTAGATAACTCATAAAAATCATCACAAAAATACAAACAATATGGACAAGGACGAAGCATTCTATCCACTACGCGGTGAAACATACAAAGAGAGTCGTATGACTAATATCATTCTATGGGTACCTGGGCTTGTATGGTTTTATTATCTTATTTGTGGCTATTCGCCACGATTTGTCAGTCATTTTAATCCGGTAATTGCCTATTTTCTTGATGTTGAAAAGCATATATATCATTATGTCATTTATTTCCGATTTCAAGTTTGAATTAATCTTCGATAAACAGAAGATCAAAATCAGTATTTCACTCTGTATATATGCAGCAATGGTGAATAATTAAACAATTGAAATTTTTTTTTATTGTTAATTATAGTTATATTTAATGTTCATTTACACAACTCATATGGGTATCATCAGTTTGATCGTTTATCATCTCATACCAGTACTTGTCTTTGCGACTTACTTAGTCATTGTTACACTACTGCACCATACTGAAATGTATGAAAAAGAGATGACACATTTACTCTTTTCATGGTTCTCTTGTGTGATTCTAGGGATATTCCATGGTTTGACAACAGCGAATGGAATCATGTCAAAGGACAATTATCGACCGTCGATCGGCACTATGGTCATGTTCATTCAATCATTCATTCGATTGGCACACATCAAATTCATCATCTTTTCCCTAAAATTCCTCACTATCATTTGGGTACATACATTGTCTTAATGCTATTATTTTTGTTTCTTTATATTTTTTTTTATTTATAGAGGAAGCTACCACTCACTTTCGTAAAGCCTTTCCAAATCTCGTTCGTGTCAACCACGATCGAATATTGCCATCATTTGTGCGCATGAGCAAAAAATTTGTTCTACAACGTTGTATTGGAAATGATATATCTGTATTTACATACAGTAATGATCAACATGACAGTTAGATTGATAATTATTGTCATTCATGTATCAAGTTTTGATTTTTCTTTTTATGTACCTTTTTTTGTTATACCAAGCAGATTTTACATTGTTGTCTGTTTGGCTTTTTCACTATAAAATATTCAAAATAATTAATCAGACCGGATCGACATTAGAACATCAATTATTATTTTTATCTCTGGCGAATTATTTAAATTATTCCAGTTATACCTTAGATCATACCTTACTTATATTTACTTTTAGTATATAATACATTGTATGATACAAACTACGATCAAAGTAGATGTGTAAAAATGATCGATGAGAGACAAATTTCAGCAGAAAAATACACTGTTCATCTACTATGATTTCATAAACCAATTATAACATAAAGACCGTTTCTCAGAACGCATGGTACATCTCGAGATCGATCTTAACGAAATGTATCTATTGATATGTTGTTTCAATATATAGAACATCAAAACGTAGTCCAACTAGTAATAATGAACAAGATCATTAAGGATTATTTAAGAATATTTTTGAGGTCGATTTTTAGTTTCTTGTCAGTATAAGTTGTAAAGAAGAAAGCAGCAATATAAATGATGGTAATATTATTTATCATCTGTCATCGTATTTTTGAGCATTTACAGAGTCGTTTATGTGATTTGAGTTGTTTATAAATATACTTTTGCTTTGCACTTATTCAGACTTTGAAATAAAACGTCTTGCACACGTATATAAATTACAAGGCAAATTCTTCTGGGATTAAAATTTGTTTTGTCATATTGACGTATACATAATGACTGTCATCCTTATCAACACTGTGTCATCATTACCTGTGTTGCACTTATATCACTATTGCCTTTCTTCTTATGTATCAAAGTTCTATTTATTACATACATTTTCAAGTCACATAAAAATACCTAAAAAAATTATTTTAAAATAGATCGTGTGCGTGAGTGTGCGAAAAATAAGTACACCCCCCCCCTTAGAGCCCATGGGATTGGTGTAACGGAAAAGTGAATAAATCAAATATATAATGAATATGAATCTTTTATTGAATAAATAAAAGGAAAATATAACGACAATAAAACTATAATAAAATAATAAAGTGATTCCTACTACTTCTTGCTTGAGCTTCTAGGTTCAGACTCTATTCCGTTTTCGAGTCTTCCAATACAATTCAGAATAATTGTATCACCACGTTGAGTCCAACCTCCATCCGAAGTGTTCGTGTTGAGACTGAGTATATTATAAAAACCAGAATACGAAAAGAAAGAGAAAAGAAACAGAACAAGCGAAAGATACAGAACAAGAGAAAGATAAATGTGATAAGGAGGGGGGGGGTATATTTGAGAGGATGTCCACCTATTCTCTTGGCACAATTGGAGTGCACTCAAGTTTTAAAAAACAGAGAATAGATTTTAATAAAGATATTTTTGTACATTTTACATACATACCGAGTTTATCAAGTTTCGAGCAGAATTTCACTCACTATGGAAGGAGATATTCGAAGACAGTCCTCAATGACATTTCAGTTATTTTCGCATATAAATTAATAGATAATTTCGTTTCATATACATTACAGACGGATTTGACTCACCGATGAGTATTGTAATTATTTTGTAGTTTATCGTATATATATTTTCTATTTTTGAATTTTTATTTGTAATAAAGACATAATAGTAGTTATTCTCATGAGTTAAGCATTCCACACTTACCTATACTTTTGAAATATCACATTAAGTTGGATAAATAAAGGATAATAATTGAGCCAATGAGAATAGACAAGACATACTAGAGGATAGAACAGTTATTATTGGACGAGAGTAGACAAAGTAGAGTAGACAATAGACAATGAACATACAAAGGGATATAAATAGAAACAGAATTGGAGTAGATAGACATTGTCTGAAGAGAATATTCGAAACGCGCCACATTTAGGGTATTGTATTAAATTCATTTATTTATGTATCTACACTTACTTACTTCTTTCTTTCTTTCTTAATTCATTCATATCTTAAACTTTATTTTTCTTCTTTAAACTCTATTTTTCTTAAATATAAAAAGCATTAAAAACATTTTTTTAAAAATTAAAAAATATTACTTATCGGTTATTATTTATTTATTTTTATTGATTCGCCAAATATTTAATCCACTCTCACACCCCTTCAATATTATGAAAATAAATACGATTGTTTTTTTTAGAGAGATGTGCTCCATTCAATATGCTAAAATAAAAGAGTAGATTGAAGAACGTATCAACAAACATTATCAATGGGAGAAAGCTGTACGTTATTTGTACAATTCGGGTAATATTTCTGTAGCACCTCATATTTTTATGTAATTTTTTTTCTCAATTTAGAAAAAGAAGTTGACGTCAATGAATTATTGACGTCATTAGATGAATTGAGTGCTCGACCAGGATCAGACAAGAGAAGCTGTCAATAGCTATTAAGAACGTGTAAGTGTTTTCATTGGATGATAGTATATAAGCGACGTAAGAATATTACTCATTGAGAAATATATAGAATTGATTATTTTTGTTTTTAGATAACACTTATTGAGCGCCATACGACACAACCATCATTTTTAACTGAACGAGACTTTAAAGATGGAACTCTTGAATGCAAAAAGGTCACCAATAAACCAGCAGTTTATGCAGTAACCATATGCATATCTGACTGGCTTTATGCTTCCATGAAGGCAGATCCAGAACTTTGCAATTTACAAGTTTTGAAAACTGCTTGGTTCGATGACATGGGATTAGTTCATCTTCGGGGCAAAATTGGTGAAACCAACGGCTTTCAACGTCGTGTTCGGAAGTACAATAGTAATGATGAATCGAGTATGACAAATAATATATTATTTATATTATAATAATGTAATTTTCGTTTATTATAGGTGGACTAGGGCCGGTATTTTGCTACTTAAGAAAAGAAGCAAAGGAATCGAAGGCTGAATTCACCGATTGGGTGAAAGTATGGCCAATTTTATCTGGTGAATGTCTACAGGTGAGCCAAATAATTGTTCAGAAATTTAATTTAACTTTTCTTATTTAGGATAACGAAGAACGTATTAAAATGGAGACACGGTGCTCATTTTTACTTGGAAGAGACGGTAACAGTGGTTACAATTGCCTATGAGCAAAGGGGTAAGATTTTATCATTTTAGTAATAAATAATTATTATAGATTCTTCTTTTAGCTGCTACAAGATTCCAAAATGATTCACCCGAAGCAATAGCTGCAATTGACAATTTCGTTAAACGAATGAATCTGAAGAAAAAGTCTGGTTACGTGAAAACCGAAAACAAGCCAGTATGGATGGCGAGCAACTTGTCCTGAATGTAAAGAAGTTTATTGTGTCACAAAAGTAAATAGAAAAAAACAAGGTCGTTTGGTTCCACCTCGGTGCAAGAACGTAAAGAAACATGCAAACGAACGGATCATTTAGACAAAAGTAGACAATCCTGTAATACGAAAATATGTAAAGCAGTGACGATAATGCTTTGCTTTTTTTATAATTTGTGTTCACGCAGAATAAATACATAAAATAATATATTTAATTTTTCTTTCAACAAAGATCACGAGAATATTTGTATTTGCTCTATCTTTCTCTTAGCAGTATCTATATGCTTCATTTCTTTGAGTGTAACTGTGATCTAAAAGAAGAGACACCCACACCCTCCAAAATCTGAAGGAATAACTTAATGCAATAAGTTAACCTCTGATTTGCAAATAAACGTCACACACACACTATATTAGATAAATTCATTGGTTAATTAAAACTATCAATGACATTATGATTGACTTGTTTAACTTCTGTAGAAATATAATTAATTTGAATGATTTCATGTTCGATTAATTTGTTTAATAATTTTTTGTTTCTTGTCATTTGTAATGCATTAAAAAAATTGATATTTTTTGAATTGATACGAGATAAATCAGATTCCACTTTGATTAGAAATTCAATTAAACGATGTCGACAACCAGATACATGAAGACATAGATAAAGTATTGGATCATTTCTATCTTGATCTAATTGATGAATAAGTGATGGTGATAATTTTAATAAATATTTAATAATTTTCACTTGTTTCTTTTTTAATAAAATAAATAATAAATCTTTATTTATAAACCATATTCTTAATTGTTCATCATTCAATAAGATTTGAAATAAATGTTTTTTTTCTCGATTTTTAATCATTATATTGACAATTTCTTCACATGTTTCTAATCTATAAAATAAATATTGAATATTTCGACTTTCTTTATAAATCAGTTGAATAATATCCAATTGTTCTGTATGAAATAAATTGTATAGAATTGTTAAAAATGAATCATATTGTTCACATGTTGTTTTATCATATTGATTGTATTTGTGAAGTAGAATTTTTAATATTTCTATTTGACTTGTTCGAATAAATATTTCTTCATAAGTAGAAGGTACAATTAACATAGTTTTATCTAAGATTTCAAAAAGACAATGTTCCAAAACAAATTCTTCATTAAATAGATGATCTACGATAGAAAGAAATAGATTTATTTCAGCTTTATACCAATGAATTTTTAAAGAATGATTTGGTTCATAACGATCATCAGGAAAATATTTCAATTGATATATTGAATATATAAGAAAATAAA